AACATTAAACCATATGAACTATTTCCATGTGAGGACAATGAGTAACTGTTATAGCCTGGTAACCTAACTATCATAAATTCATAAGTTCTGTCTCGTTCCACCCCTAATAACAGTTTTATGCAAAAATTTAAAAGGCCAACATCAACTTGAAACTAGGATGGAACTCTTGGTAATTTCTCGTCTGTGGCATTAAGCAACACTGAGACGATTATGTGCAAATTAGAAGGCTAAAGCTTCCATTTTGTGTGCACCGAATCACAGTGTTATGAGCGCTTTGCATAAGGTGTCAATCATCTGTGAATCCTCTGCTGACTCCAGCCCAAGCAGGACTTTAATGGACTTTAGCTTCGATGTCCATAATTTGGAAACAACTGTGATGAGCTCTTTAGGATCAGGGCAAAACTCTGCAACCAATTACAAAGAAGGAATGACCCAATCTACCTCATTGCAATGTCCAGAGTGTAACATTAGCAAGCAGCAAAGCATGATGGGAATAAGAGAGGAGCTATGATAAATAGGGCTATGGAACAATGGTAAAAAGTTTGAAAGTAACTTATAGAATAGAAATAGTGGTAGCGAAAAGAGTTTGTCTGCCACTACCTCAATACAAAAATGTTATATGAACTTCTACAATTTTATGCCTGAACTATGTTCTGAATCCTCTTCTCCCCCAGCAACTATTAACTTCAAATGCATTTTTTCCACAATATCCTTTGCTTTGTTAACTTCTGCATCCACCTTTCCTCTATACATGCAAAAAACATATAAATCTTGTCTCACTAAGTGTAAAGGTGGGCAGTACTCAGTTACATTCATTCAATTAATTTTACTTGAGTAACGTTTTAAAGAAATTGGACTTTTCTGAATACTTTTATATTAGTTTGACCTTCCAGTGACATTAACTTTAAGTTATAAATCAGATGTTGCGAACAGACAGTTATACTTGAATAGTAACCTTGACCTTTTCCAGAATTACTTTGTACTTCTACTTAAGTAATATTATTTCTCTTATATTACACAATTTTTGGCTTCTCTAACCACCTCTGACTTAATGTCCCCAAACATCAGATGTGAGAAGTTCCCCTTGTATGTCCGCTTAATTTACACATTTTCAGTAAGTAAGTAAGTTAGTAAGATGTCAGAAGCTAAGCAAGGCCAAGACCTTAGGCCTTGGATGGGAGACCTGAGAAAATCAGGGGTCACATTGAGTTGCCAATCACAAAAAATGTCATTGTGTCCTTAGGCAAGGCAGTTCACCTATATCGCCTAGTATGAAATTGGTGTGTGTCTGAATGATGGTGGTAGTCAGAGGGACCGATGGCGCCAATTGGCATAGCAGCCGTGCTTCAGTCAGTCTGCCCCAGGGCAGCTGTGGCTACAATAGTAACCTACCACCACCGAGTATAGAGTGAATGAAATAATGCTCTGTAAAGTGTCTTTGTGACAAATGTCTGTGATATAAATAAAAAAACTTACATTTTCAGATCATATCTGCAACATCATGTCAAACTGCTGCTTTGTCTGCTGTATTTTTCTATCACAAATGTTTACTTTATGGATCGGACAATGGAGAGATTCAACTGCTCAGGTAGTTGTAAATACACAATAAGAACAACAAGGTATAATCGCATCTGTAGTGCATGAATAAGACTGTAACATGGACAACACTTAAAGGTATGTGTACACCATCAGCTTGTTTCCATGGAGTTTGCTTTGCTTGGAATATTTCACAGTATGGTATTAAAACCATTTCTGTAACATTCATTTCATTACAGGTATTTAGGTATTGCTCAGAAATACCATGGATTCTTATTGTGTTATCTCCTGACCCGAAACTGTGGCACCGATGTTGTCTCCATGCAGATTAAATAAATTTAATGCTATACTATAAATTTAATGCTGTACTGTGGGATATATCAAGCAAAGGAAGTTGTATTTTAGTCTCTACTACAAAAGTTAGACAATGCACCCTTTTTAAAAACTCTCTATTGGGCTGGACTATATACAGACCCTATTAAAATCCCATACTTTCTTTACCTACTACAAGCTTAATTTTCTTCTTGGATTCCTTCCAACTACCCTCACAGCGAAAAAATAAAATAAAAAATAGTCACCAATCACAAAAGCAATACAAGAAATAGCCTTCCTCAACATATTTTTCATTGTTGAGCAATTTCACCGAACTCCCTGGCAACAAAAGTGACACTGGAGGAAACTACTGCCAGCTCTTCTTGCAGAAACGTAAAAATGTTGGCACAGAGGAGACTCGTATTTGGCTTTGAAAACAATAGTAATTTTGCTGCAACACAGTTTAAACCATGTCAGACCCTAACTTCCTATTGCAATACGCTCCAATGAAACAGTTGTATAAGTGTGGCACATTGAAATCCACCTCTTTTCACTAGTTTCAGGGGGCCCATTAAGCCTGAGCGTACAAAGTGAACAGCGGGGAGTTCCTATGGCAGCGGGTTGCAGAGCTATCGCATGCCCATCGCTACAGCATGGCAGAAGGGGAGATTAGCTGTGTCTTCTTCACATCAAAAGAAGGTTTTCTAACTTGGGCCTGGCAACGCTGCAAGATTCACCATTCTTATCTCCCCCAGCAGACTGCTACACCACTGGCTCCACTAACACAGAGGAAGCAGGCGACGCGCGGTCAAATGTACAAGCACAGAGTCTGGTTTGGAGACACACAAACAGAGAGGTATTAGGAGAATTGGTTCTGCTAGAAGAGTGTGCACAGCCTCTGTCGACAGCTCAACCTGCCTCACTGGATATTTGAAATGGATTAAATGATAATCCCTGGAATAAAGCTCGCAAATAGAAGACACCACTCATATGTTTTTGGCACCTTTTTAGCAGAATAAAGGGAAACGAAAAAGCAGTCACATGCTGGTATAGGCAGAAATGGTAGACATGAGAGAAATTTCAATCAATCAAATCAAGTAATAATAATACGCACTATATAGGTAACATTTCCATTGTAATTAGGCCTGTCATGATAATTACTACATCAACTTCAACATATGAAAGCCAGAAAAATATTTTTGGGGGTCAATCATTATCGTGTGTACATTTTCTTAGTACCATACTGGGAAATCCTTGGTTATTTTCTGTCTATATGATAAGATTTAAGATGTAAAAGGTTGAATTAATATCTTATAACTTAATAACTATGACTCATTACAGATGCAAACTAAGAACTAAAGTGGTTCATTCTGCTATTTATTTATTGCAGCTCATGATTTTTTTTTTTTTTTTTTACAATATTATGCATTTAGAATACTTTTTTTTTTTTTACATCTGCTCTTGGGTTGTTGTGTCAGTAGCATTAATTTGTTTAAGTATTATAATTTTACATTTACTTCAGTAATATAGCTCTTCAAAATGTGTTATTGTGACAGGCCTAATTATAAATGCTTCTCTCCAACAGCCCATCATTTCAAAACTATTAGTTGTGACGTAATGGTGTGCAAAAATATTGAAATATTGATATATCATGATACTAAATTTAGTGGGACAGTATCTTTATCGTGGGCTACTGCATCGATACTTCACCAAGTATTTTTTGGTTCTTTAAGCATGACAATTTTCTTGCTTACAGTATTTAGTGTAAGGAAATTTTACATATTCTCTATTTTGATAAATTAAAAGAGATGTATTTCATATGAACTTTGCACACAGTAACACAATAGTGGTTTAACAAAGAAATGTTGTTGCTAAAATGTATTTGGTTCTTAAAAAAACAGCAATATATAATGTGGAATATATTTTTTTATTATATATAATATATAATCTATATATATATATTTTATTTTATTTTTTTTCATGTATTGCTAGATTGTGATAAGATCGTATTGTGAGCCATGTATTGTGTATCGTATTGAATCATGAAGGACCCTGTGATTCCCGGTCATATCATGAAGTATAAATAAAAAAGTGACTGGCATAAAATAAGACTGAAATCCATTTTCCAGTTACCTTCAATTAGGTAGTGACTTACACTAATGAGAACATATGGTGTGGTTAGCAGTAGATAAGATGCAGACAGTGCTGCTCAAACGCTTGGATACAGATTTTACAATTAATCTAGCTGGAAACCACCGGAGTTCTGACAGGTGCAATGTGCAGGTGCGACAACGAAAATACAAAAGTGTATCCCACAATAGCCTTAAAAAGCAGTGGTTGTTTTGCCGTTTTTATTCTTATGGTGTACAATACTAGTTTGATTTTAATGTGTGACTTGTCAAAAACTGAGTTACTTCAGAACACTATGTCACAGTTGTTCCCGTGTTGTAGTCAGTATCCACCATGGACTTAATCGATCCTGTCATGAACAATAGAAACTGATGTTGCTTCAAAAGTGAGAGCCCCTCCCTTCCACAGAGCTGACACGTCGCTATTCTCCCCCACATCAAAAGGAACACCCCATTTCTGATGAAAACCTCTAAATTATGCATCTATTTTTAATGAGACCTTGGTGTGGAGCAGCTGTGCCACTAATTACCATACCATCAGCTAATGTTTTTCTGAAAGGCCAATGTACCTTTGTCTGTTTTACTTGTTTCTACAGCGTCAAGCCAGAAATGTGAAATCTATGAAACAACTCAGTGTTCTGGGAAAGTAAGTGAAATCTCAATGTAATTATGACGAATCATTAACCCAGTTCACGGTGCCTGATGGACCAGAAGCAACCTGACTTGACTCCAGTCGAGCAGCTCAGAGCCACAGTGACCCCTAGTGTCCATCTATACATGTTACATCTATAAAACTAATGCAATATCCTGGAAACCTTGTGCAAAAGATACAACATTGCAACCTCAAATTTTAAATATGTGATTGGTTCTGTTTGTGAATAAGCACTCCCTTTGTCAATTCACTAAGTAAATTTCATTCACAAATATTGCAGCCAGCCAGCGCTCTCCCATCAAACACTTTGTCCTTGGCTACATTTCAACATTGGGCCCTGTTTTGATTCCAAAAGTCATTGACATGCCTGTATGCAAACAAGAAAGAACAAACTTTGACTTTTAAACCAACTAAGTTCCCCTGCCGCTGCCTACACCTCTGCTAACATGGACGGACAAATGAGTGCACTATTACTGCTATTATCCCATATATTACTTGTATATGGAGAAGCCTTGGATATGATGCCTATTGAACTTGCCCCTATACCGTGTAATGACAAAGCAGTGGAAAAGCTATCCCGGCTGGCTGTCACTTATATCAATGAGGATAGATCGGACGGGTACAAGTTTGCCCTTAACCGAATCGCCAATGTCCACCTTCATGCTCAGGTAAGAAGGTTAGGTTATTTGCAAATTGTGTTTATTCACGCCATAAGATCTGACCATTTTAGAAGCAAAAATAAGTGATGCCTATTCTAAGTTACGTATATTGTTGTCTTTTTCTTAATCTCTTATATCCCTTAAACTTTACTTAACATTAACTTACTTAATTTTCTGAAAATGTTATTTCATAAACCAGGTCACATACTGTATAGATGTTAGATAAAAGCAAATTAAAGACATTTTCACTGTTGTTTGGTCACAGTGTCAATAATCTTCAGTAACAGTAAATCATTAAACTAACTCTTGTGAGATTTAAGCCATACCTGGAGTTGTGTTTTGTTCAAATGTGTGATGTCATGCAGTGGTAGTTTTCACGTTAACACCTACCTTTTACCTTTTGTTCAGTCAAGATTAGCTATGGAGGTCTGAAATCATCAAAATGATTCTAGTGAAGGTGTATGGAGTTTAAAAACACAGTGGTGTACTTTCTGTATTATCACATAACATCACAAGGTGGAACAGTGTTTACTGTTTGAGAGAGGACCTAAGTCTAAATATGTACAGTTTGAGTGTTACATGTGTGAATGAAACAAAACACAAGGAAGCAACATTATGACATAGCCCTTTAATAATCGTAACACTAAAATCTGATATCGTGATTTCCCTGTACCCAGGTGGGTCTCTAGGCAGACTGAAACCACTGCAATATTGTATCGGTGGGAGATTTATTTGTGATTAACTGGAGAAGTGGTCTGGAAAGCTTATTTTCTCATCTGTGGTTGTGGAAAAATCAAAACATTCCTGGCAGGAGAGAAACACAGTGGCGAGGTTGACCAGCTGTGACCAATCTTGCTGTCAGTGGGAATCTGTTTGATAAGATTTGGGCTTAGATTGTGTACACAGAATCATCTAATCAAAAACCAATGTCACAATTTGGTAACTGCTGGGAAATAGTAATCATATTAAGGTGAGACACGACAGGTGATTGGATTTACCCATGAAAAAATAATTATGAAATTTCTCAAGTAGATTACTGCCACAACATGAAAAAGTATGACTGCTAATTACTACAATGTGCTATGTACTGTGTGTTAATTATGCTACCAAAAAACACACAAATTGGATGAAAAGTTTAATATTTATTTATTTTTAAAAAACTGAATGAATAATCTTGTTTCAAAAGAGGAAAGAGTTTATTATTGTTGTTGTTGTTGCTGTTATTATTATTAATTCATTAAATAATAATAATAATTATTATTATTTTATCAGGTGCCTGGAAATGGTTGCCTTGTTTACTAAAATGCCTCTACAGGCAGAATACAAAGTTAAAGGTGCAATATATAACTTTTTTGGTGGAGGGTCTGCCACCAGTTGTCTTTATCATGGAGATGCTTTTGCTTCCCCTAGAATGTTCCACAGTATGGCATTAAACTTCTATATCTTCATGAAGACAAGCTGTTAATATCACACAGCAATTTGCAGGTCAGGTCTTTTGAGAGGCTAGCTCACTCACAGTAAGAAACCATGTTTTAAGGTTTTAAGGTATTTTTCCAGCAATAAAAATACTTAAATGGGTAAATGTAAAATGGATTACTTTAATGCGCTATTGTGGAATATTCTAACAGAATAATATACATATACATGGAAAGAAGCAGGTGCCAAATGCTATATCATAAAGGTTACATCATACCCTTGAACACTGCCTGTAAGATTCAAGTTACACTGTACACACTGCATGCGTGGATCATTATTTAACTTCTTAAGGTACAATCCTGATGTAAACTTGGTTGTGTCCTGTTTTAAATCTGGTTTAGTTCTGGTCTAATCAAGGTCTAGTTTCAGGTTTAGTTCCAGGTTTAGTCCAGTTTAATTTACTTTTCATATAATGCTGTGCCTTAATATTGTCTCATAATCCCCTTGGCAAGCAGCTGGACAACATGCAAGTTAAAAATTGCAATAAATGGGACAGCTAGACAATCAATAAACTCTTATTAATGATACCATAAAGGCTCAAACTCATTACTTTATATCGTGAGTCATCAATGTTCCAACAAGGACCAGAGATACTGTTATTAAAGCTCAGGTCATTTCAGTGCAAGGCTGCAGAGACAGAACTTGCACAATGCACATTATGAACTCTGTGGCTTTAAATGAAGGCCATCACGGCATACATCAGCATTTAAAATAGTCCTGTGAAAAAGTGGCACCAACATATGCTTCTAGCCAAAGTGCTTCCAGCCAAATTAATACCCAACATAGAAATATCTGGCTGCCAAATTGTTCCATTAAAGATTCTATATTATGACCTTTTAATCATGTTCGAATGGTGTTACTTCCTCAAAAACATATCTGCTTTCTGCTTTGTTTCATTCATACATGTTTGAATAATCTTTATCGTTAGTCTGTCTACATCTCTAAAGCTCAAAATGCTCGCTTCCACCTTGTGATGTCATGTAGTGGTATTTTTTAAATTTAACAACTACTTTTTACCTTTTAGCTCAGTAGAGATAGGCAATTCCAGGGTTGAAATTATCCATATGACTTCCATATGATTCTAGTGAAGGTGTAGGGCCTTTAAAAACATAGTGGAGCATTTCCTGTATTACCACATGACATCACTGTGGAAGAGAGTTTTCTGTTTGAGAAAAGAGCTCAGCCTAAATATGCAGGATTTGTGTTTTAAAAGTGTGAATGAAATGAAAAAGAAGTATGTTTTTGATGTGGAAACAAGATTATAACAGATTTAAAAAACTAAATAGTGAAATAGAGTGTGCAAAAATTGTCTACGATTCATCTAGTAGAGGAAAACTATTTATCCTCAATCAAGTAAAATGTAAAAATGCCAACAAATGTTTTTTTTTAACCTTCTACATTCTTGATTTGAAATGTATGTATTCATTGGGTTTGTGTGTATTGTGTGTATTGCGTTGTGTACTCAGGGTCCAGCAGGCAATGTCTATTACCTGGATTTGGACGTCCTCGAGACCAAATGTCACACAGGCAGCCCGAAACCATGGAAACGCTGTGATGTCAGGCCCTTCATGGAAACAGTGTGTCAATCTTCCTCCTGGTCAAAATACACACAACTTTAATTACTTCAACATTTTAATGACTTACTAAAAACATAACACTTATTCATGAGTACTTTTAAACGTTTACATCTTGTTTAGCAAATCTCTGGAAACTGCAATACCACCATCCTCCACACACAAGAGGGTTACTCCTACCTGTACAGCTATGACTGCACTCTGGTCCCAGGTAATGAAAACATACTTCAGTTTTGTAGTTAAGTTAATGTAGAGATGATGATTATTATTTTTTATTGCTACTATAGTACAGAGCTCCAATTACTGCTATAATACTATTACTATCAACAGTATTATTACTAATTTACTGTAGACAGGACTGCTAGTGCATCTTCTACTGTAATTTTGAACTAAACTCTGGTCTAGATTGGATGTGACAGAACAATTGCGCCAACTAAAGAACTACTTGTGCATTGTGTAACTTTTCTGGTGGAGGGTCCATCAAATGCTTTTCTTCATGGAGAGGTTATTGCTTTGGTTTCTGGAATGTTTGAAAGTATGGTATTAAACCTTTCTATCTTCATGGAGACCAAAGTTTCATGGAGACCAAGTTACATGTCAAATCGGTTTAAATGCAATCCCGCTGACAGTCAGAATGCCTGTTTTTCGAAGTATTTTTGAGCTATATAAAAACCACATGTAATTGAATAACTGTAAGAGAGCTGTTTAATGTCATGCAGAGCAATGGCAGATCCATAGAAACAAGCAGGTCATGGACCCCTCCAACCAAAATGTAAAAAAAAAAATTTGAAAAAATAAATAAATAAATAAAATTATATGGGTCATAATCGAAATTACACTGATAGATAGAAACATGCACATTCAACAAAAATTGCGACTGTGCGCTAGGTCAAAAGTCAAAAATTGTGCAAAAGAATTTAAGAAATCCGACAGCAGTCCTTTGAAGTTTCCAAACTTTTATTACAATGCCAAGCCATGTCTGAAGAAGGGCTTGACCCGAAATGTCACATTGTGATGTCGTTGTAATAAAGGTTTGGGAGCTTCAAAGAACTGCAGTGCAGATCTCTTTCTTCTTTTTCATAATTGAAATTACAAATAAGCCATATAAAAATAAACGTACTGTAAAAATGTACCTAATAATATTCTGAGATCATTTAAATGTACTGTCTTTTTGAATAAACCTTTGTGGTTCAGGTTAATCCACTAACTCAAAATGGTTATCACGTAAATAAAAGAAGCAGTATGGGTACAGGTTTTTAAAAGTGGTTTAAAATGAGGTAATATAATAATTGTAATCACAATTTAAAGTTGATTAATGGCACAGCCCTAACCCACTTGTACAACAGTCAAGGATTTTAAGGCAAAAGTTGTAATTCAACCATTAAAAATAAGCATAAATATATAATCTATCTTTTAAACTGAATTAAACAAGCGTTGGATGAAAAAGGCGCTATAGAAAATGTATTCTCACAGCTTAGCGTCTCTTGGCAGTATAAACACTTTACGCTTGGTATGATATAAAAGCACCAAGAATATGAATAACAGCAAGTCCCACCTGCACACTTACAACTTCCAAAATATCTCTTCCTCTTACTCCCACGCTGCCCATAACAGAGGGATTATTAATAGTTTTACAATCATCTAGACATTACTCTACTTAGGTGCACTGTGAAACTTTTCTGGTGAGGGTCTCTCTTGCATTTATTCAAGTCTGGATGTTTGTATTGATATATAATACTCAAAATTGTTAAGCTTTAATCCATGTTAGAATGTTGTTACCTCATCAAAAACATACTTGGAGGTGTTCAGTTTCAGTCGCACATGTTTTATTAGTAGGTCTACATCTTCAAAGCTCAAAATGCTCTGTTCCACCTTGTGAGGTCATGAAGTGGTAGTTTTCAAGGTAACAGCTACCTTTTTACCTTTTGTTCATTAGAGATGAAATTATGCAAATGAGGAAACAACTCTATAACAGAGATAAGAAAACAGTGTAATATGGGCCCTAATAAACATGTATTCTTACTGTAAGTGGATTCACATCGCCACAGATTTGATTTGTAACTTGGCTCAGCAGCAGACAACCTGATTGTCTCCATGGAGATAGATACATTAAGTGCCATACTGCAAAATATTTCAGACACAACAATATCATCTCCATGACTACAAATAGGGGTCAACATCACATCAGAAAGTTACATAGTTCACCTTTAATGTTGTTTAGCAGTTCCTAACTCCTCCTAACTATTACCTTATATTTTTTTAGATCCACCAGAGAAGCTGCAGCAGACCTGTCCCACTTGTCCCCTCCTGCTTCCTGTAGACAGTCCACAGGCCATCACTGCTGCTCAAGTCACACTAGAGTCATATAAGAGGAAATCCCTGCTCGGGGCTGGACTGGGGGTGAAAAAGATACTGAGAGCAGCCCAGCAGGTATATGTTGGTCTAACCTTGCGCTTTCATAAAAACTAGAATAACAAATAATAATAAGGTCTTTTAATAACTTCTTTTAATTTAAAAAAAGAAGAAAAAACATCAAAGTGTTTTGGCCTTACTGCACATTCTTCAGGGCATGTTTAAAGAACAAAATGGGCACTTTTATAACAGGAAGTCATGTGGTCCATCACATGACTGAATCAAAGAGTCAACAGTGAACAAGATAACAACAAATCAAAATCGCCATACATTAAATTAAGATGTTCATTATGTAAATTCACACTACACAACCACAAATAGTAGCTTAAAACTGTTCACAAAAAAGGAGTCAAGTCTAAATCATCATTTAGACCATGGAATTCCATTGCTTCCAAGGCACCAATCACGGGAGAGGTCAGTCAGACCAAGGCTTGCACACAGAAACAGAAGAGTCAGCAGCAGGGACTTTAACGTATATGGCTAAAGGATGAGCTGGAGGCCTGGCCCCAACAGTTACAAAGAGAATCCTTCTAAATGTATACCCTGAAAGCAACAAAGGTCCCTTGTCTATATGATGGTTTAGATTTTACTCACTTTTTGTGAACAGTTTTATCTTTATGATTGTGTAGTATCAACTGAGATCATGAACTTGTCAATCCCTAGAGTGCCTCACCCTTTTTTTTTTTTTTACTTTACAATGACTTTGAGACCAAGTCTGAAGCATAAGCCTGAAACATATTTGAAAACACATTCATGCAGCATTCAAGTAGCTTTTTTCTTTTTGTGAACAATACCAAGAGTTATTTGTTTCATTCACACATGTGAATCCTCCATATTTAAGCTGAGTTCTTCTCTGAAACTGAAAAAAACTTCACCTAATGTTATGTGGTAATACAAGAAGCACTCCACTGTGTTTTTAAAGTCCATACACCTTCACCAGAATCATTTGGATGATTTCAGACCTGGAATTGCTGATCTCTACAGAGCAAAAGGTAAAAGGTAGCTGTTAACTTAAACTGCTTCATGACATCAGAATGGTGGAACACAGCATTTTGAGCTCTGAGGTTTAACATATTACATATAAGAAAATGAACGATTCCACTTGGTATCAACTGTCATAAATAATCATAAATTCTTATCTTTTATAATCCTAACACATGTAAGATCTTACATTACACACTCTGACATCCTCCAGGTAATAACTGAAACTACACTAGGATTTTGCCGTACGAAGTGTCTTCGTAATTTATGCTTACATTTTTATTCCAATCTTTCTGTTATGTTTTAGACCAGGCCAGTGAAAACTAGCTTTGTGGAGTACACCGTCCAGCAGTGTCCAGAGGGAACCACGGAAACAGGCACCTGCCAAAGACTGACCGCAGCCTCAGACACAGAGGTAAACAGTACATACAGCACCTGTCAGGCCCACTGCTCACCTGGCAACAGTGTTCTGAATAACTGCAGTCTATCTGGACAGCACAATTGTATGATGATTACTAAAGTAAGTACTGCAACAATTTGAAACTTACAGAGGGAGGGACGGACGATCAGACAGCCAGACAGATATTCAATAAATAAAAAGGATAAAGCACTAAGGAGTGTAAAGGAATTAGTAGGCATTTAATTGCACTGGAAAATATATACCATTCAAAATCTGCATAAATATATGTTTTAGTTGAGGCGATAAACTAATCTGTGCTATTTAATATAATGAAAGTGGACTAATAACTTGAGAAAACGTAGTAAATGTAGTAAATTAACAAAATATAATAAATAAATTACAATGCTTACCTGTTTTTTCAGACTACAGGCTTCTGCTCAGGATCGGTGCATGGTGATGTGAGAGTCCATCCTGAGGTCCATGTGTCCTGTGAGATGTTCAAAGTGCAGGTGTGGTATACAAACTTAGAACTTGTTCTTCTCTTAAATCAGACCAAATTTCAAGCTGCACAATGTAACTTTTCTGATAGAAGGTCAGCCATCTTCCTGTCTCTGTGGAGATGTTATTGCTCTGTCGGCAATGTTCTACAGTTTGGCATTAAAGTGATCTATCTCCATGTCCATATCTCCAAGTTACAGGCCAGATTTGAGGAGAGGTGACATTACTCACAGTTAGAATGTCATTTATTTCAAGGTATATTTGAGCAATAGACATCTGTAATTAAATAAGTATTGGACATTAAGCTCAATGCCATACTGTGGAATATGCCAAGCAAAGCAATAACATTTCCATGGAGACAAGCAGGTGGCAACAGATATAGTGTGAGCTTGAAACAAAACATATAAATATGATCTTGCCTTTCTACTGATTTGATCCACATTTGAGATTTTGTTTTCCCACATTTTGCAAGCGATGACCTTTAAGATGACAATTTCACTTTGCATAAATGTCACTGTTCATATAATTACTCCTTCACTTTTATGTGTCATGCCAGCGTTTTCATCAGTGTATTACTATTATGTATGCCTAAGGTATGTGTCACTTTCCAAATTGCATGCTTGTGTTTTTGGTTCACCCATGACTATAATTAAGTTGTCTCCTCTCTCTTTGTGAATCCGGGGTGTAATGTCACATCATGGAAATTCTCTTAGCTCAAAGCTGATTGGATTTGTAACCATAGACCGAGGAAAAGTACTGGACCGATGAAATGAGTGTTGCATAGATACGATTTGCAGCAGCAGGAAAATAGAGCAAATTAAAAGTAATGAGAGAATGCATATTAGATTACATTATAAAACTATAGGAGGCAGGAGTGCTACTTGGAGATGTAAAGATACGGTAGTGTAAAATTGTCCTTTTGGTGCTCTTCAGTGTAGGGAAATGTCTCAAGCTTTTTTCAAATTTAGATTATATTATCCTCATAGTTACACTTAAAGGTGTATTGTCTAACTTTCCTGGTGAAGGGTCCATCAAATTCTTTTCTCTGTGGAGATGTTATTGCTTTGTCTGGAATGTTTCACAGTATGGTATTAAACCTTTCTATCTTCAAGACCAAATCAGACCAAGTTACAGGTCAGATCTGTGGAGAGGCAACCCCACTTACCATCAGAATGCCTATGTTTCTATTTTTGGGCTATAAAATCACCTGTAACTTAGTAAATGTAAGTTAGAGCTGTTTAATGTCATACTGCGGAACATTTCAGGCAAAGGAATGGCATCTCCATAGAAACAAGCAGGTGACGGACCCCCAATCAAAAAGTTACACAGTGCACCTTTAAAGTGCCTATTTATATTTAAGATTTTGGTAAAAACATTCACACCCATTTTCCCAATTTTGACATTTTCTTAGGTTTAAAATTGAACCTCATAGTTGAAAATCCTGATATCACACTAGGGACTTCCATTACTTTTACCTAGAAAAACTCCTCTCTTGTACATAGAAATCATTATCTGGCAAATACAAATAAGAAAACACATTTATTTTATTGAATTAAAGTTTACAGTATCAGAAAAAAACAGTTTTTTAAGTGTAAAATGTGGATACTTTTAGTGCATTTAGAACTCTATACTTAGTGTAATTTTCAACACATTTTTCAGCTTTTCTTCACAAATTGCTTCTTGATTTGTGTAAAACTATCATTTATATTAACAATAGTTATAATCCCACTCAACAAAGTCAAAAATAAAGAATCATAAAAATCTAGTCAAACTAGTCCTGACCTATATTGTGAAACAGCCAACAGATCAAGAATAAAACAAAATGCCACTGCCACCATATTGTTTTGAATCTCATCTGCAATACAGGCCGACACATGGGGACTGGGAGAGAGCTGTCAACCGTCTCACGACTGGTTGTATTTTTATAGAACAGTAATAGTCTACATATGGACTCAAAATATGGGAAAGATATCATGGCCAGAAGAACAGCATGTGTGTTTTTTTGCTCTTAGTGTTGTCATGGTATTAAAAATTCATACTTGATTTTGATACTCTGAATGTTGACAGAAGAAACAAGTTCTGATAGTGCTTGTGATCTTCTAAAACTCAAATATTGTCCTATTAATGGTATCAGTATCAACACTTTCAAATGAGTATCTAGTTTCTATGCTAGTTACCTCCGCCAAGGAGGTTATGTTTTTGCCGGCGTTTGTCTGTTTGTTTGTTTGTTTGTTTGTTTGTTTGTCTGTTAACAACATAACTCAAAAAGTTATGGACCGATTTTGATGAAATTTTCAGGATTTGTTGGAAATGTGAAAAGGAAGAACTGATTTCATTTTGGGGGTGATCCGGAAGAAATCCTGGATTCTGGAACACTTTGAAATTTTAGTTAACATTGTGGTAAATGGGGCCAAAAATTTTGTTTCTCAATATCTCGGTTAATTATTGACCAAACCCCATCAAATTTGACTCAGGGATGGACAATGGGATCCTCTTTCATATTCCAAAGGCTGATCCGGATCTGATCCAGAAGACTGATTTTATCGCAATTTATATAAAAAATGGGGGTAGTCCTTGGCAGAGGTCTGCGCTCTCTGAGTGCTTTTCTAGTTTTAATAATGTAACAACAAAAACAAATCCAGCAGGAACTTTTTTTTTTTTAAGTAAACTATATCCCATAAAGTAGTAGCGGTAGTAGTAGCACTAGAAGTAACAGCAATAGCATCAGCAGTAGTCGTAGTAGTAGCAAAGTAGCAATGATAGTAGTAGTATTAGTAGCAGTTGTATGAAGTATGAAGTATATATTGTTTTATTTTTAATTTTTTTCTTTTACTGTCATGCATATTTTGTATACAGTGGTATGGAACAACATTTATTGATCTTTAGAGTCTTTGTTTTGTGTTTTTCACTTTCAGACTGTGGACGTCCTCAGACCCGTCCAACCACAGGGTCATGACCTGGCACCAGAGTTTCCCATAATCCCCTCTGACGCCCCCTTTATCACTGACCAAGACCAACCTGCTGCAGAACCTACATTTGCCGCAATTATTGACCTACCACCTGTCGACATCGCCACGCAGGAGCCCCCAGCACCACCAGCTCCCCCTGCCCCTCCAGCACCACCTGCACCACCTGTACCCCCCGTAGTCCTACCCTCCGACCCCCTCACCTCTTCCTCCAGCGAATCTTATGAATTCCTGGTGTCGCGACTCCCACCTCCCGCTGCTCCAGTGCCCCCTGCTGGTCCAGTGTACATGGCCTCGTCCTCTGAAGAGATAGGTGGTCCTGTGGCTCTCCGTCCGCCCCATAACTTTTGGTACAAGAAACGTGATGATCGCAGGAGGAGACGTCAAGCTTTAAATCTGGCTCCATTTACTCACACGCCAGTCTTTCTCACTGACTTTCCTGATGGTTCTTCTCCTTTCCGCTCTTGTCCGGGCCCTTCAAGATACACCACAGTTTAATAGGAGTCAGTGTAATAGTTACATGTGGAAATATGTAGCTTCACTAATCAGTGGAAGGTGATTTCATAGAAAATTACCTCCTTGGTGCTAATGTAATAATAGAGATTCTAAATGGTTTGTAGTCCAATTGTCTGAACAATGTAAATCAGGCTGGTTGAAATCATTTGTGCACTTGAAAAAGGGCTTGAGCTCATACTTATGTGCTTATATTACACAATAAAACGTCCAATTTGCCTCTATTGTATTGCTTATTACATATTATCAAAGTTAGCCTTTTAAGGAACAATTGAAAATTTAAAACATTATTGAGATATGTGACTGAGTGGTGAGCTCCAGTGGTGGAATGTAACAAAGCACAGAGTTTAAGTAAAAGTTTTAGGTATTTGTACTTTACTTCAGTAGATTGTACAATTGGTACTTTTTTACTTTTACTTCACTACATTTAAGAGCAGATATCTGTACTTTCCACTCTATCACATTTCTGTACTCTTTACTCCATTACATTTTTGAACTGGACTGAAAAGTAAAGTATTCGTTATGATAGTTTGACACCTGCTGATGGGTTTATTTTGAACACATTCATAATTTGAACAAACAAAAATATACAAATAAAAACAGCTAGAAAAACAATTGATTCAGTTGTTTCTACTGAACAAAATTCAGCACAAATCTGTATCAAAATCACTAAATTTGAAGACTCATTAAGAACGCCAATGCATGTGAAATGCCTGATTACTTTTATACCTAAGAAGATTTTTCATGCGATACTTTAAATATATGTATAGGCCAATACTTATTAATAAAATCAGGTACTACTTCCACGGTAATTTGCACCCACAGGCCTAGGTCTAATGCCAAAATTTGTTTATTTTCTCCATCTGGTGACAGAGTAGCCTACGTAAAAACGCTACTGCTACTTTTTCCCAACAATCAGCGATAGATAAATAAATAAAAAGTTGTAGCCCATGTGTATCGGTCTAGTCTTCCATTTACGTGATACATCCAACAGGGGGAGCTAGAGGTCGACTAATGGCGTTGCGTGGCGTTACTTTCCACTATTTGGCACATGTGGCTAGCGGGACAAGTTACAGATTTCTCCCAGACGATTTATTTCTTCTTCTTCAAGACAAACTTAACTTCATTTGTATACTGTCTCTTCTCTTCTATTTACCAAATAAAACTCTTTTCCTGACGTAGTTTTGATATCAGTATTTTGAAGGCACAAACCGTGGCGTCCTAATTAGAGGCAGATTTTTGGAGCGGGGCGAGGAGTGGCTTCTTTGCTTCCCGAGCCAGGCGCATTCATCTTCCTCCCAGATGGACGACTGAGCTGCAGCGAGCGTGAAGCAACAGCTGGAAAAGACAGCAACAAAGACGACGGGTGTGGAAGATTTTAGGAGCGATTTACTTTATTTTAAAAAGCACGGACATGTTTGTGGATTGACTGAATTCCCGTGTTTTTTGAGGTAGGTTTGAAAATTACCCAAAAGTTTGTCTGTCAGGCGCGTTGTTGTTTTTCCTCACTTTGGATGATCTTGATTTTACGCGTAAATCTACCCTGTCAAACCAAGCTTTTTGCGCTTCTTGCCTATTTCAAATAAACTTTTCTTCACTTTTCCTACGATTTTTGCATCGTTGACCATAGTGTACGCTATTTATGCGACAATACAAAGGTGCCAATACAGATTTAATATTTCCCATCAGGATCTGGCATCCTGTTGAGCAAGACATGTGATGGCTTGCCCCAATCTCTTTACTCATTTGCAAATGTGTAGACTAGAGTGACTTACTGTAAACGTCATTGTTATGGTGTTATGAAACTTTCCACCAGCTCTGTTCTCTTTAAAACAACAAAGTCTCCTATTTTAGGATCTATGTTTGAAAACGGGCAATCCCAAAAAAAAAAAAAAAAAAAGTGATGTAATTTTCTACAGTGATTTACCTGTATCCTACTTCATGAAACCAAGTACTGACATTTGAATATAATTACCTAATATTGTTGATTTTATTTGAGTATTTTTCAGAATGAGAGTGTCTTGTATCATAAGGCAAGATTTTGGGTTAATTGTCTTTAGGTGTGTTTCTTCTGTTTTGTAAGTAGGAGTTGAAAGACCATTTCTTGAACTTAACTGTTCTCGTTAAGACAGCAAAGTCTTCTATTTTGAGATCTATGTTGAAAAGGGGTAATTTAGAAAACAAATGATGGTAGTTGTAGTAGCAGTAGTTCACCTAAATCCTACTTAAGGGTGCACTCTGTAACTTTTCTTGTGGAGGGTCTGTCAAATGCTTTTCTCTGTGGAGATGTTATTGCTTTGTCTGGAATGTTTCACAGTATGGCATTTAACCTTTCCATCTTCATGGAGACCAAAGAAGACCAAGTTACAGGTCAGATCGGTGCAGAGGCGATGACGCTCACAGTCAGAATGACTGTTTTTGTAGACATTTTTGAGCTATAAAACCACCTGTATTTAATAAATGCAAGGTAGAAGTGTTTAATGTCATACTGTGGAACATTCCAGGCAGAGCAATGACTTATCCATAGAAAGAAGCAGGTGACAACTCCCAACGAAAAAGTTATAGTGCTCCTTTCATGAAAGCAAGTACTGACATTTGAATAGAATTACCTAACACTATTACTTTTGTTATTGTTGCCAAATAATTGTTGAGATCTCTTTCAAAATGAGTTGTTCCAACAGGCGTAGAAGATATTGGTTAACTGGCTTTAAGAGTATTTTTATGTTTTCAGAGACTACTTCTTCAACTAAAACTTGCCTACTGTAAACTATTTTAGGCCAGCGCAAGAGAAATATGCCAAGCTACAGGCAATTTGGAGAGGGGTCACTGTGAGGTCTTGACTGTCACAAGAAATAGCTGAGGAATGATATAATAGTTTGCCCCTCTACATTATTCAGTTAAATGAGCCAAAATGCCCAAACAAGATTGTATTTTGCACAATACTGGACACACTGGACACTGAGTATAATGACAACAATACTGTTCATTCATTGCATTTTCTTATAGTTTTTCCACATGGAGATCTCTTTAAATGTGTTCCCATTAAGTCTTAATTCTTGGTGGTTTCTTGGACATTTCTTTTCAAATGCAGATTCTTTGGAGCATTATTTAATTGGGCTGGGAGGGATAGGCTGCAGGGCGTTCACATTCTGGGTTAGCTCTGCGTTCAGACACCATGTCGAGGGTTTTATGATGACCAGATGTTGTAATTTTTGCTCAAAGCGCTTTTCTTGCAGAGAATGGCGAGGCTGGGGATTTTTAATTATGCTTTTCACAAGTTCATTTAGTGTTGTTAAAGAGAGTTTGAGAATTTTGTTAATAATAAAAGAATTGTAAGGGTTTGTTTTCATCTGTTTTATTTAACAGGGTAAGAGTAGGATTGTATGTGGTGTACAATGATGGGAAGAATACTTTGGAAATGTATTTAGTTACAGAATACTGAATACCTGCTTTAACATGTATTTTGTAACATACACCTTTACATGGCCCAGTCACTGTACTGAATTCTGAATACTTGTGATACTTGCAAGATACTTTGAATTGCATATAAATTATAATGTAAAAACGCGACATTGGTTTATAAACAGATCTATATTTGTTTCACTATTTTTTATGTATTTCCTAACCAGAGAAGGGAGAATTACACCTGCGCTCACCACAAGAGCAGTGTTTATTTTTCTCTCTGATTATGTGCAGTTTGAAGCCTAAATTGTGTACTGCCAAGTATTCATTTGGTTTTAGAAAGTAACTGTATAGCTGTATATACCACCAAATGAGAGGAACTGTAAGAGGAACAGTTAGTATTCAGAATATATTTTATTTTCGGTATGTATTCAGTTCACTTCCCAACATTGGCAGTACATATGTTAAAGGGAACAGACTAAACAAAACAAAATTAGAATTGGATGCATTCAGAATAACTATGTGAATGTGTATTTATATAGTAGCTGAGGTTGGAGCATTTAAGACAAAGTAATATAAGTGATATTAGATTACTATGTTTTGTTTTATGGTATAACTTTCACTATAGGTTTAGGTTACTAAATTATTCAGTAATGGATACAGATTTATTTTCTTACACCTCTGTGGGTAATGTGGGTAGTGATGTGATGTGGGTGATGTGGGTGTCATGGTGCATGCTTGGCTGGCAGACAGAATGTTCCTGGTTTAATTCAGGCTGAGGACACAAGTATTAGGACTAATTAGAACATGTAGTTGTAGATTGTGAGATTAGTGCTAAACTTGTAAAGTGCCTAGAGGTGGATTTTAGGATAATTACTCCAAACACGAAATGTACAGGTTCTGATGGATTGCCATTATATTGTGTATTACCAGGTATTTTTTGTACTTTTTTAGCAGTTTTTTGCCTGATTAGTTTTAAAGGTGCAGTATGTAACTTTAGAGGAGGGTACTGCTACTTACTTGTATGCTGGAGATGTTACTGATTACCTTGAATGTTCCACAGTATGACATTAAGCTAGAGGCAGGCTACCAGTATATGCCAGAAAATATATATTACAATTTTTTAACAGCCACATCACAATTTAGATTTTATCACAATTCATGTTTTTTTGTTCAGTTTTAAGAGGCAACTAAAGCTATCTGCTGTTTATTTAAGTTTACATTTCACTGTGATTGGTTATATCCACCTGTCACTAAGGTTGACAAATAGGAGGAGAAGTGGATGGTGAAAAGTATCTATAAGTATACTATCAGAGCGGCTTAAAAAAGAAGTTTAAAAATATCTATATACTATATGACGATATTACAAAGCGAGCATATTGTCACAGGGATGACAACGATAACAATTCAATACCACCATATCACCCAGCCCTAAATTTAACTCCTTATTCATTTACCAGAGTTTTTATTGGGAAATAAAAATACCTTGAAAAACATGATGTGAGCGGGATCTCCACAGATCCAACCTGTAGCTTGCCCTGGTGACGTTACTTGTCTTCATGAAGAAATGTGGAATACTATGGAATATTAGGCAAAGCAATAACATCTCTATAGAGACGAGCAGAAACCAGTAGTGAAACAGAGTGCACCTTCAGAATGTGGTTCAGTTTACCGAGATGGTTGTAAAAGTTTTGTGGTTTGAACTTGCCTTTTTAGATTGTGTTCTATGTGTACAGAGTTAATGAGACTGCTGCTAGACGATGGTGTCCTAACTTGATAAACAGCTGTTCCCTTGGGGTGTGCTCATTCTGTTCTTTAAAATGCGGTGTGAAGCAAGCCAGCCACATCACACAAACAGAGCTGACTGGCCCTTAGTCAGTGCTATGAGTGAGGTCACCGGAAAATCCTCCTCATCCTCAGTCACTCAAGTGAACTTTACAAGGAAGCCCGCTTAGTGCAATGGTATGAGAAGGAGAGATCACAGGACAGACTTGTACACACGCTCCAGCAGGTGTGGATGAGGGGATGACGGTCTTATCTGGTGAGGAGATAAGTCTTCTGTTTGTTTTGATGCTGTATTGTCATGGGAATTTGAATAGGTTTTGAAAGGTGTTCTGATACTGAAGTGGATAGTAGCCAAAAGTTGTACCCTAGCACCATTGCATAACTTCAGTATCATGTTACTCAAGTAGAAGTATAATATAGTCATCCATGAAAACGCATTTGAGGAAATGAGTAATTTGCCTGGAGGTAATCTGATTACAAATTCATAATTTCAGACTTCAGAATTCAGAATTTCTGGTTGATGTAATGAGGAGTAAATGACATTAAATAATGCACAAAATCAAAAAGAAAAATATATTTGTAAAACATTTGAAAAGAACAAAACAAAACAAAACAAAAAAAAATCCCTCATACTTGATTTACATACTTTTTTCACTGAAATAGTTCATATCATATATTAAAAAGTTATTCAAGTCAACTACCCACCAATGGTTTCTAATATTACTTTCTCATTAAAGGAAACACCCTATTTGTTTAAATTAGGGATGTCATAATAAATCAAACCAAATGTTACAGTTGCAATTACTGCAAGAAGGAACATAACAAGTTTATGATCATTTACAATAGACATCATGACCAGTGAAATCACTTCACAGTTGCTTTAAAAAAATAAACATTCTCCTCAAGTATGTGACCAGCTTTATGAAGTAAAATTGTATTAATGATAACGTAGACATAATGTGGCAAACAAACAGGTTAACAACATTCTTTTAGCTTTACTTTGAATTTTAATTCTCCCAAATTATGACCTGTCATCTGAATAATCGCAGTTTTTGAATATTTTTAATTTCACTCACTTTCACTCTTGTTTTGTTTGAGTAACACATAACATATAACACTATATTTAGAAGTGTTCTGTTCAGTTTTATAACTTCACAAGCAGCTGTCAAATCCAGAAAGTTCCTGTGGAAAGTCTGGATTTTCCCACAGAAATTTCCCACCCTACAGTCCTTGTGATACTATTTGGTAACCGTGTGTAATAGTT